CGACCGAGTTATTCAGCTGAGCTTGGCGTTCGAACATCTCGTGGTAGTCACCACCAATCAGTGCCTAGTATACACAACGAAAAATTGGAATACTCCCGTCATTTTCAATCTCCGGGAATCGAACGTGAGGCTCATTCTGCAAGCTGAGAAGTGAGTCACTTCTACCCAGAAAAAGGGCTGTGAAAACAGTTTTTTTGTTTGTTTTGGTTTACCTAGAGTGTTCTTGCTTGCTGATGGAGCCAATTTGTACGTCCATGCATATGACGGAAAGCTGGTGACGAATCCGAAATGGCCGGGACTGCGTCCGGATTTATTGAATGCGAAAACACTTTCCTTGTCTAATGATACCATTGCCGTCCGAGAAAAGAACGACGAGAAACGTGAGTTTTGCGTCAATTACATCGCATCGCAAAAGTCAAAAAAAAAAAAAAGAATCACTTACATTGTGCATTGCGAAAGGTGCAACAATGAAAAACTTTCGATCAGTACTATTGACTGCCTCACACAATTGACCTTGTTTAAATTGAGTCTTCCTGAATTTATCGACGTCTGGGCTGCTCCCGTACGATCATGTCACTTAAAATTTGACACACATCTAATATACAGTATTGTACTAGTTTTTTCAAACTTTTCTTCAATTTTTTTTCCTTCTTTACTCTAGATATCCTGTTTTTTGACGCGGCATCTGGAAAGGCTCTGAATGATCAGAAACCATTTGCCCACACCACCGAAGTCATGGAAGTCGCTCTAAACCAAGGTGGCTCGGTGGCCGATCGTCGGTGTGCATTTGTGGACCGCAACAGAGACCTTTTTCTGTGCTTCACCCGTAAAGAACCTCCGAATAACTTCAGAGTTGCTAAACTGGGTGAGGTTCTTGATTTGAGTGTTCCTAGAATTTTTGTTAGCTAATGGTTTGAAATTATAGGCAATATGATACAGTCGATCTGCTGGAAAGATTCGGTGAATATGCTTGCGGTGTTGCATAATGGGAAACTGACGATTTGGTATTACCCGAATGCGGTGTATGTTGATAAGGA